GGGTTGGCCCCCCAGCCCGGAGGGGCAGCATTCCAGCTGTTCTGCCCCGGCTTCCCCGATTCAGCCGCTGGTCGGTTTTAGCAGCGGCTGAATCAGGGAAGCTGGGGGCAGAGCATCTCCAATGGTCCAGCTGCCCGGAGCACTTCCGGGTTCCTGATGGTGACGGACCATCAGGAGTGCCGGACCATCGGAGTTTTACTGTACCTTGAAAAAGGGACACACTAGATAGAGCAACTAAAGGTAGCAGCAATGAAGTTTTAGAACAAACAGAATCTTATGTGTACCAAAGTAACTTGATCCATTAAGGGTGATGTTAAAAGGAAATGTACATTAGCCATGGGTTCAGCACAGAAACTGACAAAATTATGGACTGATAAAAACATTATGTTTGGTCCTACTGTGAAAATTTATCAAACTGGTGTACTAATAGTATTACTTTGTTGTCTGGAAGCCTCTGTGTTAAATAAAATAGACATCAAAAGGCTGGAGGCAATAGCTATGGGAGTTCTTTGAAAGATTATGTGAGGAAAGTGGAATGATTTTAAGAGAAATGAAGTTAGAGAATAGAATGTGTAATCAAGGCTATTGGATTGGCTATAGTAAAAAAGATAACAAAATAGTGGGGACACTACAGATGACTGGTGATAAGATGTCAAAGAAGATAGTGCAGACATAACCAAGGTCAGTCGTACTTAGCTAACCACTGAGTAGGTGACAGAACATAATATTCAGGAACGTGAGTAGGCTGGGCTTAATGGAGGCACAAGCCATGGACTGGAATGAATGGGGATGATGTTACTTTGGGGAAGATACTTTGGAAGAAAAATAAGAAAAACACATAGTTCTATGGCTTGAGTATAGGAGTGGGAGCCAAGGCACAGATTCTGATATATTGTATCTTGTTGACTTGTATCTTACTTTTCAAATAATCCTACTGAAATTAATGAGATTATTTGTAGAGTAGGGCACTTCTGATCCTCACTAATTAGCCTCATGACATCTTTGTGACATGGGGAAAATCCGGATACAGAGAGGTTTATTTGCTTATCTGAGACCACATGATAAGCCATTAACTAAGCGAGGAATAAGAGCTCTGGATCCCACTCTTATACTCAAGCCATAGAACTATGTGTTTTTTCCATGAAAGGAAATTAGCCGAACTGCTTCTGTTTTTTACTTTACCAAAATATTTGTGTGCTTTAAGTGTAATTCATTTTCAAGAGAATAATATTTTGCTTTACAGATTTATACATCTCTAATGCTCCTCCTTTATAGGCAGGAGAATAGCTTCACTTTATTTTGGTCTCTGCTCTTTGGTTCTGTTATCTTTTGTTATTATCCTGTTGCAAATACTCCCAGAATCCTTAAAGAAACAATATATGTCAAATTACATCACTCCATACTCCATATAAGACACTTCTCAAAAAATTGCTTTCTTTTCATTCCATATCCTTGAATAATTGCGTGTTTGACAAGTTAAATCCACTTCATGAAAAAGTCTGTGCCGCTGAGTAATGGCAGTTGTTAGTGTGCATATATTCTGGAAAGCATTTGTGTACAAGTTTATAATAACCACTTGAAAAACAAATGCTTCCAGCATAATGTTAAATACAAAAATCTGTTTTATAATAAGCTATGAAATCTTTCATATAATAAATTAGACTACAGTAGTCTGAATAGTTTCTTCATGTCATGTTTTTTCACCATTATCTGTTTGAACATAGGAAACATTTATTCAGGTGTATGGCAACTGACAATAACTATAAACTTTGCTAAAATGAATCATCTGAGTTCTAGTATGTCAGTTACTTTATTGTAATACACACACATGCACGCACGCACACACAAACTTTTGGTGACAGAATGCATTGCATACACCCGAGGCCTTGAAAGCACGGAAATGAGTTAAAAGGGAAATGTTTGCTGCTTTCTTTATGGGGAGCTATAGAAATGTTGAGGCATAGTAATTTCCTAAACACATGGAATGTGTAACAGTCAGATTTGCCAATCTGTGGGTTGTGGCAAGTACATATGAAGGCTCTATTAAGATTTGGCAAGCTTGATGAAGGTAGTGTAGGCTTGATGAACATTTTGGGGTTGGTGAGGTGTTTTCTGATATACACTTGTCACTAAATGTTTTTGTTTATATTAATTTCCTAGGTTTTTTTTCATACTGGATCGGTGTACCTCAGTGGATAGCTCCACAGGATCAGGGAGATGCATTTGGCTTGGATTCAGAGGAACAAACTGCAACACTAAATCGACTCCTGTCAACAATGTTCCTCCTAAAAAATATATGGTATGTCTCAGAAAGATCTTTGTGTCTATAACATTTTGACATATTTAAAAGATATTCAAGGTAAATATGCTAAATGCAACCCCCCTCCCATACACAAACTGAGTAATGACATAATCTGTCAGCTGGAGAGAACATTCATGAAGAATTCTTTGTCATCACTCATTTTCCAAAATATGCCACAACCTCTCAGCTTCTAGAAATTGGACACAGGAAAGAACAGCTGTAGCCAGTGGTGTTGTAACAATTTTTGGAATGGGGGTGCTAAACTGAACCCCCCCTTGCCTCTGTCCACACTCCTCATCGCCACATGCAGGGTCAGCACCCAGGACCCCAAGCCTAGCTGGTGGGTGAAACCTAACAGGAGGAGCCTGGCGTCCAAGCATTGTGGCCAGCAGTTGAGCCCTTGTGCATGAGGCCAGCAGTTGAGCATGACCTGGGGCCAGAAGTGAAGCCCAAGGGCCCAGTAGCTGGGACTGCAGATAACAGGGGTGCAAGGTTGGCAGCTAGGAACTTGGGTAGCAAGGGCATGTGGCCAGGAAATCCAAAACGCCTGAGTGCTGCAGCACCTACTACTTCCTGTGCCTATGGCTGTAGCTACAAGGTACATGGTGCCACTCCAGCAGTATGTCTGTCTGTTGTGGAACCGCTCATTCTGGGTCCCCCATGCCTACCATTGTGAAGCATACCTCTCAACTTGCAACCCTTGCAGTGTGTAACATCTCTAAACAAAACCTTTGACAAATAACTGAAATGTGAAAAACCTATATTTTGTGGATTTGTGCCGTAATTTACAGATAATAATGGCTTTTAAGTTTAAAAAAACCCCAGAACACGTTTTAAAGATATTTTCTCAGTGTGTAAATTAAATAAGCTAGTTTTTCAAACTAAAATAAATTATATCACATGCATTCATGTGATATAATTTATTTGATCTTGATTGACATCAGGATTTGAACCCATAGATCAGGGGTAGGAAAAAGGGCCTTTGCAGACCAGATGTTGCCTGCCAAGCAGGTTAATCCGGCCTGTGGAGACCCAGCTGCTTCTTGTGCCCCCAGGCCAATCAGGGCCTTGGGGCAGGAGGAAGCCCAAAAAGTCTCCTCCCACCCTGCCCCTACCCTGCAAGCGGTGCACGGAGTTTAGAAGCACTGTATGCTCCTGGCAGGGTAGAAGGAGGCTTTGCACGCTCCCTGCACCCCCAAGCCCTGATTGGCCCGGGGGCAGGGCTGGCTCTAGACACCAGCAAATCAAGCACGTTCTTGGGGCGGCACATTTCCAGGGGCAGCATTTCCAGGTAAGCAGCTGCCCTTGGCAATACCTGCCCCCGCCCCGCCTATTTTAAAGGGCCACAGGAGACGCCACTACCTGCTGTGCAGTGCTGGCACCATGCACACCCAGAACCTGCTGGCTGCCCTCTGCCTCCTTCAGCTGTCCAGCTCTGCCGCCTACTTTGGGTCACCCTGCCTGCGGGGGGCCGAAGTGGGTTCGCGGGGCGGGGGATGGCCCCAGTGCAGGAAGCGCAGTCTCCCCTCCAGCCAGGGCCGTGGCGGCTGCTATAGCATTACGCATTCTTTTAACATTACCAGTATCAGTGGCTCTGATGAACTCAGTTTCTCAAAACTGAAATTACTAAAAAATTATTTGCAGTCCACCATGTCTCAAAATTATTTATCAGGACTCCCATTAATTTCAATTGACAGTACCATTGCAGAAAATTTAGATTTTACTGAATTATTAAAAGGCTACACAAGTCAAACCAGAAAAATTCAGTTCATATAACTTCTTTTAATTTATGAGAAATTGGGCGCAGTGGAAGACACTAACATTTTTCATTACAGTGTATAGTTGAACCCAAATTGTTTGTAATTGTGATTTTGTTAAAATTAAATGAGTACACTAGTAGGAAATTGTTTTATTTCACTAACTACAAATCTTCTGTTTTCATTTTTTTTTTTTTATTTTAAACAGTCAAAAAAAAAACATTGCAAAGTGCAAACGTGTAAAAGCCAACAAAAGGGGGGGCAAAAAACCTAGAGCCAGCCCTGCCCAGGGTCAGGGGAGTGCGTGAAGTCTTCTCCCGCCCTGCAAGGGGTGAAGTGCCACCACGCTCCTTGCAGAACGGGGGCAGGGTAGAAGGAGACTTCGCACACTCCCTCTGCCCCAGAGCTTGTGGGCGGGGAGAGCACATGAAGTCTCCTCCTGCCCTGCAAGGGGCTTAGCACTTAGTCAACCGCCATCTGCTGCTCAGCTGGTGGTTGACTCTAAGCCCAGCACTTCCTTGCAGGGTAGGGGCAGGAGTGAGAGACTTCACATGCTCCCCTCCCAAGGCCCTGATTGACCTAGGAAGTGCAAGGGAGAGTGTGCAAAGTCTCCTTCCACTGCCAGAGGCACAGGTAGCTAGGTGGAACCATCAGCTGTTCAGAACAGATGAAGGTTCTCTCTGGGGGGCAAAGACTTTGTGCACTCTCCCACCCCCAGACCAGTCAGGGTCTATGTGTGGAAGCACAGAAGTGTCGTGACCTCCAGTCAAAAATTACTGCCCACCTGTCAGCCGACGGTCAGGGCAGTGTGTGTGTGTGTGTGTGTGTGTGTGTTTCCGAGAAAAGGTTTAACGTCCGTGTCTTTACTGCTAGGACCGGGGTCCCATCGCAGAGGGTGGCCAGCAGGCCAACAGACGCCCCGTTATATAGGAAGAGCTTATTACACCTTAGATTTTAGCTGCTAGAACACA